TTTGGTAAAAACTGATATTTCGACTTCTGTTAAAAACCGCAAGTGCAATTGCTTTGATATTACATTTATAGGTACTACATGTAGACCTCTCTCAGATTTGTTAATTTTGTAATGATATCTTTAATTCTTTAATTTTGGTGAATATTTTTGTCATTTTTGGTAAAAACTGATATTTTCGACTTCTTGTTAAAAACCGCAAGTCCAATTGCTTTGATACTACATATATAGGTACTACATGTGGACCTCTCTCAGATTCGTTCATTTCGTGATGATATCTTCAATTCTCTAATTAATTTGTTTTGGTGAATATTTTTGTAATTTTTGGTAAAAAGTGATATTTTTGACTTCTTGTTAAAAACTGTAAGTCCGATTGCTTTGATACTATTCATATTGTTCATTTTCTAATGATGTCTTCAGTTCTTTAATTGAAATGTGCATTGCTAACAGCGGAGCTATCTCAGCCGATAGGCTGCTTGTTTACACATCAAGTGGTTTAACTTATTCATCAAAATAATTCAAGAACATTAATATAGTACTTGTACACAGTGTTTAATTGATGTAAATATAATAGTGCTAAGAATTTCCTTTGAAACGTTTGATTAGTATGCTAATTATATGCAAATTAAATATGCTAATTATATACAAATTAGTGCCCCTCTTTAAATTTTATTTGTGGAGAACACTGACATCATGTCATAGACAGACAGATATATTGGTTTGACAATCCTATTCAAAATGGCCAAATGGTGGCCATTTTTGTGCAAAAAAATCATCAAATATCAAGCATTTCTGGCATTTATGGATGGATTTCGTTCAAACTTGGTACATATATTAGACTTTACAGGTTCCTGATGCACATCAGTTATTTTTCAGATCAGATTCAAAATGGCTGCCTGGTGGCCATTTTGTTTTAATGAATGGGCTTCTAGACCCATATCTCCGACTTGTTTTGACTGATTATAATCAAATTTTAAATATTCATTATACATCATGTTATAGATAAACAGATATATTGGTTTGACGATCCTATTCAAAATTGCCGAATGGTGGTCATTTTTGTGCTAAAAAATCATCAAATATCAAGCATTTCTGGCATTTATGGATGGATTTCGTTCAAATTTGGTACATATATTAGACATTACGGGTTCCTGATGCACGTCATTTTATTTTTCAGATTGGATTCAAAATGGCTGACTGGCGGCCATTTTGTTTTAATGATTGGGCTTCTAGAGCCATACATTGTATCTCTTAAATGCTTTGACTGATTATATTCAAATTATATATATTTGTTATACATCATGTTATATATATACATGTATTCAAAATGGCTGATTTTGAATGCTGTTCCAGAGCAATATCTCTCAATATGGACAAGTACTTGTTTGACGATCAGATACAAATGTCAATCATTTTACTGTTAAAAAATCATATTCCTGACATGGTTATATTCCAGCTATATTACTATAAACAAAACTATATATCTTAAATTTGATAACTAACGGGGACTGTGCCATGCACATGGCTTGTTTCTTATGTCTTGTGAATGTGAATTTACACTGATGATTGGATGGCCCGACAACAATTCAATTCGTGTCAAATATGCTTTGTTACAACATCACTGATTGCTGATCTGGATCTTAATTTGTAGGGTTTTTGGCCCTCAACAGACATTTCAAACCATCAAAATTATTATCAAAAGGCGAGATGGCAGGCATGCTGGATATCTACAAACATACCTAAACAAATGCAAAATTAATAAATAAATGTAGAAGTGTAATGTCAGGTTTTATTTTAGACTTGTATTTTTTTTTTATTCAGTCCATATCCTCCTCTGGGAAAAAAAATAATATTTAAACAAATCGTGAACATGTGATGCATCAACAATCAGGAAAGAAATTGCAAAAATCACTTTGATGTAATTTGAAAATCAGACAAGCATGCTATAATTGTGTTAAAATACATTTTTGTGGCAGTATGTCAAGTCACAAATATTGCTTAAAATAAAACCTTTTATCCCAGTGAAATCTAGGTCAAAGGGTCAGATTGCAAGCATACAATTATAGATAATTAAACTCAGATAAAGTACCACACTTTAGATGAGTGATTGTACATCTCTGAAAACCCAAAATGCGCAACTATAAATCAACATGAATTTTAAGTGCAATTCGGGTGAGCAAGCAACACAACCACATGTTCGGAATACTAGCAATAATTATCCGGTTTATTTTCAACAATAGATCACAAAGGCAAGCAGAAATAAAGCAATGGCAAAGTGAAAGCAAGTGAGAGGTTGGCCAGGATGAGCATTGTATCCACGGCCAATGGGATTAATTTTCATTTATGTGTAGTACCAGTAATAGTCTCCAACATTAATGTACATTTTACAGGTACATCACTATGTGAACTGTGAATTAACTATATAACATTTTTGTTTATTTTTAGGTTAAATCCAATAGCATTGAAGATAGTAGACAAGATTAAAGACAATTCTGTAGATGCATGTTTGTTTATGGTATGTTAACTCTTAATGCCACAGTCGAGCTATGTTAACCTTTATAAAATATACCTGCATAATTGTTCCACATTTTTTTGTCAATTACTATTTAGAAATGAACTTGCATTGGATTACATAAAGTTGGTAGCCCCCTTTGTACAATCTGTAGGAGATCTTTGAATTTTGTGCGGTTCACTCAATATTATCCAATAGAATCCTGGAACTTTCTGTAAGATTCAGTAATTAGACCTTGATGCATGTCATTTTGTTTTTTCTGAACCATATCTCCAACATGCCTTGACTGATTGTAATCACACTTTCGCACATGCACCAATTTACATGACTTCATAACAAGTTAAAAATGACTGATTTTGAAGTTATTTTTTTGTGTTTTAAGTTTGTTTTAAAATTGCCAACTGGCAGCCTTGTTTTAATTTTTCCTCCTGGTGTCCGTTGGCGACCTCTTTTCATTTTCAACTTTTGCTATAATACTTTGTTTATATATATCTTGGGTGGACCTCTCTCAGATTTGTTCATTTCGTGATGATTCCTCAAATGTCTAATTTTGGTGAATATTTTTGTCATTTTTTGGTAAAAAGTGATGTTTTTGACTTCTTGTTAAAAACCGCAAGTCCAATAGCTTGGATACTACATTTTGTATACATATAGGTATTACAGGTAGACCTCTCTCAGATTTGTTCATTTCACGATGATATCTTCAAATCACAAATTTTGATGAATATTTTTGTTATTTTTGGTAAAAAAGTGCTATTTTCAACTGTCTAACTACAATGTGTACAGTGGAGCTATATCAGCAGACAGGCTGCTTGTTTTCAATTGAAAATTTCTCATTATTATTTCCTTTTTATGTCTTCAACGCCAAGTACAAATATGAACTTTGTGACAATGATTTGTTGCTTTATATATCTTGAGCTTCTAATAAAATGTAGTTAACAATTCAGCTTCAACCAAATTGATTGATTTCAGATTGATAACCAAAAAATGTCCTCAAGCTGTAGTGAGGTAGCATTGAAATTATTCACGTTTAATGAAAATAAAAGTGAGTGGAAACAAAAAGAAATGGAATCGAGGTAAGTTTAAATCAAACAGCTGGAATTCTATCAGGTAAACCTTACAATACAAGTACCGGTACGTCAACAAAAGTGAATGTATTTATTCTAATGTTTTAGCAATTGCACTGGGTTTTACATTCACGAACTTGGCAGGGAAACAATGAGTTCTATTGTTATTTTACATGTTTATGTAGATTCAATTTAGCAAATTTTACTAATCAAAAATAGCTAAATTAAAAGCTAGGGAAAAATTGACGAGGTTACAGTATTTTGGATGTTGACTGCCCTCTGGTGTTCAATTTTTTAAAATCTTTTGTTTTATGTTACAGCGTTGCACTCGAAGATGATGAGAAATGCCTTGCAGTATCAGCTGATTTATTGAGATCAAAATTATACAGAGATTTATCTGATTTTGATAATCATTTAGATGATATTTCATTAGATTGGTTAAATCCAGATATTAACAGTCTTATTAATCAGTGTTTATAGTGAATGTTACATTTTGTAGTAATACTACCTCCATGTTGTCAATGTATTATAACGTCACTTTCCTTTCTGTATTTTTTTTGTACCTGCCAAGCACAAAGTCTTCTGTATTAAAGTAGGTACCAACAAAAAAAAGTGTGCATATATTGTTTGTTTGTATTTTCAAAATAGGTGATTTCCCGGTCATTGTGAGATCTTGCGGTATGCGTGAAAAACACTGTTTGATCGTCTGTCGCAAAACTCTAATGATTTGATTTTGAACTTGAATTTCCTTTTATACAGTTCAATGTCAAAAATTTAATCTGGAAAAGAATATGGCGTTGAGATATCATCAAAATTGACCATCATGACCTTTGTTTGTCATGTTTTGACATTGGAATTCACACATAACACGGGATCTCATGAACGAAAAATTGTCTATATATCTTTAAATCTACAATATTGAATACATTGTTTACTGTAGATGCGTGAATGAAAGGAACACCTAATTACCAACATCGTCACAAACAAATCACCTGTGTTGATGTCTGGAGATTGTTATCAATTTGAAGCACTTTGGGCCACCTCATTTTCAAAAGGAGCAATGATATTTACTGAGAGGGGTGCACTCTCGAGTTGTTAGTTTATGCTAAATTTTTGTATTTTTTCTCGTTTTGCGTTATTTTAAACGATAAAAATTATTATAGAAAATTCCTATACCGATCATGGCCCTCTCTAAAAGTATCTTGGCTTCATATTGAAAATGGGATGGCCTACCGGTAATCTGATAACGATCTCCAGACGGCAATTTGAATCAGCACAGGCTATTCGTTATCAAGTTTGCTGACGATGTTGGTAATTAGGTGTTCCTTTCATTCACACCTCCACAGTAAAGACATTTGACATCTCTCCTGGAGATGCATTTTTTTTTTACTTGTAGTCTTTTTAACAAGTTGTATGAATAAGCTCTCTTTGACAGTGTTCTTTATCGACACAGGCATTCTAGGTGTTACAGTAAAGTACTTTATTTTCACTTGGAATTTATATTTACTGAAGGGATGAATACATTTAATTCATCAGAAATCAATGGAAATAAACTTTATACCAAACAGCAAAATTTAATTCCAGCTAAAGTAAAGTATTTTAGAGTATTAATGAATGACTTTGCACAATATTGACACATGTCATAATTGCGTGCATATAACAAGTACACCATTCCCATCCTTACTGTATTTTGAAACAGGATATAAATGCACTAATGCAGTCATGATTCAGCAAGTCTTTCCAAAAAGAAAAAAGAATAGCATCCACAATAAACTACTGTATTGTTAGTATTAAAGAGATGCTAATACTAGCAAGAGGTGGACACATGGCATCTTTGCAATGGAATATTTTTAAACAACCCTGATTTTAAACATCTCAACAAACGTTTGGTTCCATTGTAAACGACTGAATTGTTTTTATTCATGTGAAAACGTATCGGATGGTATGGTTGCAGGTGCATTAAGCAGTGTAAAAAGGAACGTAATTATGAGAAGCAAATGTACTTGCATGCATGGCAAGTCTTAACATCTTATCAAAAATAAGCTGACTTGCAAATTTATTAGTTACATGTTAATATTTCATTACTTATGCAAAAAAAAAAAAATCAAATCTTTTTTTCAAGACCATTCTTATATAAAGCAATTTACAAATGAAGGTTCAGTGATGACACTTAAGTCTCAAAACTGTTTAAATCAGAAGTCAATGTTAAAAGCAGGATTGTAGTCATGTTCTACTATCACCTATTCAATGTATACTAGTTTATCTGGGACTTGTAAATGAGGCAAGTGGGTGAGAATAATTAGTTCTTTTTCGGATGCAGTTCGAAAATGAGGACTTATGGATTGACGTCTGGACTTGTA